TTAGGGAAGAACTCAGTAACCATTCCTATCGTGAACTGTGACTTTAACTCTTCTCACAAAAACTTTCCAAGAAAATAGACGAGCATGATTGATCTGATCTAATTCGAACCACATTTTCCTTTACTCGGAAGAGTTTCACGTCGAAAAAGGGTAGAGCTCCTTACGCTCATTGACCCAACCCTGCTCAAGAGATGGATAAATGTTAAGGTACAACTAGAGCAAAATCCTAGCCAACCTTTTCATTTTATAATTCTATAATATCTAGGCAGAGGTGGTGTAGCGACAACAGGCGCACTATCACGTGCATAGCGATGGAAATAAACTTCAGATCGAGAACCAGTTCTTTCACGACTATAAGATCGGCTGATTGGCATCAGAATCGTCTGAGAGAACAAAAGCACCGAATTTCGTACCAGCCGGGCACCGAAAGTCACTCTCAAAGCCGCACATGTATTCAAATGCCATCACATCCCAATGGAAAACTGAAGCAGGGCGCAACCCGGAAATTCGATGATTGACGCGAGTAACCATCCTTTTATACTTGATTGCTTATTGAAAAGGATGCCCACTTTCTTCCATTACAGACCTCTTGAAAAGTTGCAATAGTTCACAATTCTCCCTTACACCCCCTTCCCTTTTCGCCCCTCTACCCCTCGTTCGCTCCAGAATTCCGATTGGTTGGACAAGCTTCTGGTCCAGCATACTACCAGGGTGAGGGAGCTGAGACATCTAAAAAACCGATAGCAGGTCCCTCACTTTCACCTTGCTCAGGGGTTTTGTTCATGGAGCTCAGTGCATCTCCCAATGACATATTGTTCCTAATCCATACTTATAACAATAGGCTAATCCCTTATTAGGTTTACGTGAATCCCCGTCACGATGAGCATGAATCACATCACCATGAGCATCACACCCAATATTTTCTTTATCGATAGCAGTACAGTTAGCAGTGATAGCCTTCACTAGCTTTTGAATGGACTATTCCGTTATTCCTCGACAGTTTCTTTGATACTCATCACCATATCCCATTGAGAGTCAGAAAGGGAAACAGGAAACAGTACACTCCGAAAATAAAATTTATAGAAGCTGACCAAGAAAACCAAAAAGTATATTGTAATTTTCCGTGGTACTTCCATACGCCGCTATCTATCTGAGGATTACCGGTCTTCCTTCATTAGAAAGAACCGCACTTGTTGTTTGAGCTTATTGATGAAGGACCATCAGCAACGTCCTGAAGACACATAATAATTAAACGATTTTATGCGCTTTTGGGACCTCAATAGAGCTTTGTGGCCAATTTTTATAATCGAATTTTCAAAAACTAGTATTCCTGGCTATCCTCGATCTGAAAACTCTCGAGTGAAGAGTATAAACAAATAAATAAACGATTTAGCAAATAAAATAACAGAAAGTCCATTGGCTGGTTTCAGTTTCCCAAAGATGGCAGCGGTTAAGCTTTCGAATGCTTCTTTGGGGTGGTATGTCATATGAGTTTCATCACTGATCTTAAAGGCACAGTTCCCGATAGAAATTGTTTCTGAGATTCCCCCACAGGATGAATTTGAGGCCTCCGCGTATACAATATCTGGCACTATTGGGTCGGAAAACGGCCTAGTTAGGGAGTTATAAAGGATCAAAGATTGGCCCATGTGTATTCTCGGACGAGTTTCACCGACATTGCAGAGGCTGAGCCGATCACAAGAGAACCCATGGCGGAAGTTTAAACAACTTGACTCATAGCGACAGTGAAAGACAGTTCTGTGCAGTTCTGGCCTGATAGAGTCAGCTCTTTGTGCAATTGCAATGACTGAAATCTCGTCCGAATATCCCTTCCATGTTATTATTGTCATGGCAATATCGTCCAACCTCAATTTTCACTACTTTTGAGGAGTCATATTTTTCTCGAAATCGACGGATTCTCTCGCTTTCTTCACTACCAATGAACTATTCCCAATCTATCCTTCCGCTTTTCGAACAAAAACGGGCACCTCAAAATTATCGTGAACTGTGCCTTTAATTGCTGGTTTTTGTACTGTTTGCTATTTGCTGAACGAATAGTATTCATATGGTAGGGAGTATTACTCTCGCTCACTGTTGTACAGCCTCAAATCCACAAATAAAGGGGTAGACAGACCTACGGCAGTCGTGTGAGATCGATAAGTTGATGTAATCTGTTAGCCCAGAGGGTAACCCACTCCAATGATAGCTTCGTCAAAGTTCCAGAGGATCTCAAGCGATAGGTCGATTAGGGTTTATGTTATGGGCTCTTCCTATGCAAAAGACAGGTTCCAATTGTTATAAAGCTCGTCATCATCACCACAGTTCTTGCTTATTCCGTATGTGTTGAGTAACTCTTAAACCTATCCTAGATGAAGCTTCCCTGAAGCCTTACATTATTCCTAGAGAAGTCAATGCTCCGCAGGAAGCCGCAATGCGACGTCATTATGCCTGGGATCAAGCCGCATTCTTCTGGAACTAAGCAGCCTATTGAGAATTTTTTTACAATGGCAGTAGGTATTTGACAGTGACATCATTGCTGGCATGAGCAGTTTCAGCCAGTGCCATGGATCCTCCAAATTATGTCACGGATGCTGAGTTGAGGGCCTCGAATGGGTTCCAGCCCTAATACAGCCCACCTTTCCTTCACCCATATGAACACCGTGTCTTCTAATCCCTAAGCCTGGAGCCGTCCAACTCGGAGAGGGATAGCTCTAGGATGAACTTAACCATGCCCTTTTTCTCGATCCGAACTACCCCCAACTTGTAGGAGTTATTATCGAACCCAGCCAATACCAATGAAAGCCTCCCTTCTCTCCTCTCCTTACCTAATGGGTGTTAAGCTACCCAAAAGGATGAGAACTCGAGTGTACGTTCATAGATCGGCTGGCTACAGCAAGTACTGCATTCGCCAAACCCCCTCTCATTCACCCATCTCCACAACGAGTTCGGTTGGAACGCGAAAACGCAAGCTTATCCCACCGCTCGGCACCTTTGACTTTCTTTTGTGGGGCGTAAGAGTTTCTAAGGAACATTTCTAGGTTCTAGGTACAGTTTCTGAGGTGAGCTACTTTTATGAATTACCAGTAAGAACAAGTTGTAAGATAAAGCAATTTACAAATTAGCTCTTAAATTGCAAAGTACTTGTCATAATGAGCGGTCTATGAAGACAAAGCGATGAGCACAAAGACATCACGCCCTTAGCACCTATGGTTCCTTCCAGTAACTCACCGAATTACTACCTGTTTTGCTTAATTTGTTCTTATAAGTTGCTGTAAATGATAGTCTGTCTGATTCAATTAGAATTGGTATGACATGAACGTGAGAGCTATTAATAGCGACGAAGAGATTGCCTATGTCATTTCCCATGGGGAACATCACCCATACACCCACTGGATGTTCTTTTCCTGTTTAGGGTGGAGCCTATGTAGGCCTTTCATCCATAGCAGGCTTTCCAAAGCTGCAGTATAGATTTCGGCTAGAAATGGCCACTAAAATNNCACGTTTAAGTATGACGGCCGCCGAGTCGCCAATGGTGCTTGCAGTTCGATACCTAGAGCTCATTTTCTTTACATTCCGATCATTTCAGAGAAAGTTCTACACTGTCTTGACCTATTGTTCCTTCCTTTATCAGCTTAAAAACAATGTTTTGACCCTATTTTCGTGAACAACTTGCTTACACTTTCACAAGTTCCTTTCATGGTTCCTCTCATACCGAAATATTCTATGCATATGTAATTAAGAACTTGTTTCTTTGATATTCCTGGACTTTCCTGGACTTATTGAAGGCAAGATCATATATCTATTAATAAACTTGTAATAGAGAAGTATTGGTACGTTTTGGTCAGCTTTTGCAGAATCTCTGGACTTTGACAAATGCCTTTCTGCAAGGGCTTCGCACTAGATTGACGACCATGTTGTCATTTTTCAACATTCCTTACTTTTATAGAAATTGATTCAAATGAGGACAAGTTCTTCTAGTTGAAATAGTAGCTCTTGTGGGAAAGTTACATGCCTTTACATTCTCAGGGTTTCTCAATGATTTTCAATCTTATGGGTACACGTAGACAGGCGTAATGTGCCAAATAACTGAAATCCTACAGCGATTTACTTGCGCGGAGTTCAGTTTATACTATTACCGTAGCGGATTATGTACTGCAAAGGTACGGTAGAGATCCCGGTCTATAAGAGCAGCTTGGTTGAGAGATTGGAGCTCCAGTGAAATTTTGGTCCGAATTCGGTTCTTGAGTGTGGATCCAGTCCAAGCATACGAAATTGGTTGCCTAGGTCTCTGCAGGCTTTCGTAGGGCATTTTTGAAAGCAATAATTACATCGCTATTACTGTGGATGAAGTCGATTTTCTCTGATCCCAAATGTCAGTACCATGAGCCCTTAGCTATGCTCAGTCGAAAGCTTTCCTCATACTTTATGAAGCAACTTTATGTGCTCGAGTAACTTTAGGGAAGAATCCGGGGTCCTAGATCAAGTGGGGTAGATTTTTAAGCATTTTAGGATCCTCTTTTTGAGAAAGCTTCCTTCTAGAAGCGATCATCTATTCGAGTAATTTCGTTACGTTCTAATAAGCTCCATTTATATAAGAAATCAGCAGGTTATTCAAACTGGGACGAGTTCCAGAGTGATGATCAGATGGAGGGCGTGTCACCGGAGGATCTGGCAGCTTCTTCCGCTCCTTCTTTTCGTCTGCTCTGCGGTCATTTCGGCAAGAGGCAAAGGTCAACTGCATTTCTGAACAGAATCTCCCTTTTGAAGTCGTTTTTTATGAAACGAAGTTTCAGATGATAACTGTAAATCGGAGAAGCTGAGAGAGTTAGTACTGGAGACTGTCGGCGTATATCCTCATCAGTACAGCTATCAGGCCAAGTAAGTCAAATAGTGATCAGTAAGAGGGATATTGGCTTGTCAGTGAGAAATCATCAATGACTACGTTCCAGATATCTGAAACAGCAAGCTGAGGAGCGGTTCGGAAACTGGTGGAGTGTGGTGATAGTCGGTGATCGAGGCGGTTATGGAATGAGTGCTGTCTATGATAGATTCAGAAACACAAGGTCAGTCTAGATTCGCAACCCTTCCGAAATGGGATGACCAGATTTGGGATGTATCAGGGGTTCCTGATGAGATTCCCATCCTGTAATAGTCCACACCTTTCTGGAATTTCTGGATGTTTCCCTGGAATCATTATGTAGACACTATCCTTTTTTTATTCAAATGTCACCCGGATCCCTCTTCCTTGTTTATTTGGAGGTACAGTTCACGATAATTTTGACGTACCCCTTTNAAGTCGAAAAGCGAAAGTTTTAGTTGGGAATAGCGCATCGGTGCTGCAGGAAGCGAGAAATTTTAATTGCATTGCCTCATAAGACTCCTCAGAAGTAGAGGAATAGAGATTAGACGAGACCATGACAGAAATATTATGGAAGGGGTATTTGGACGAGATTTCAGTTGTTGCAGTTACGCAAAGAACTGACTACAACAAGCCATAATTGTACAGAACTGTCTTTCACTGTCGCTATTGGTCGCATGGCAAGTTGTCTGAACTTCCTACAGGGGTTCCCTTGTAGTCGGTGCAACCTCAACAATGCCAGTGTAACTCGTCTAAGGAAACACACGGGGCAATCGTTGAGCCTTTATATCGCTTTGTCTAAGCCGTTTCGGCCGTTTTCTGTACTGATAGCACTACACATCGTATACGAGGGCCACAAATTTATCCTTGGGAGATATCACATAAACCATTTTTATCGTAAACTGTTCTTCTAACACTCTAATGGCAAAACTGTCTTCCCGCATCTGACCACTTCGCTGCTTGTTGAAGTCCATGCCAAAGTCAAAGGTATTTGGTCTCAGAGCTCCTTCTGAGCGATTCTGTTCGCCTTCGTTCCAGCGCTTTGAAGACAGGAACAAGAAATTCAAAGAGTCGGCTTGATCTAGTAGATTGATTGTCATGAAATATCCGTTTGCATACAAATAAGTAGTGTGCCTCTACGGTATTCCTCCAGAAATTTCCAAAACATTTCAAAGAAAGCTAGTTCTCAGAACGAGAAGTTTTGGGCGGATACTTTCTGNAGCGAGGCTGTGTTATGATGATTTATTTTTTTCAAGGAAGTTTGTAGCGAAGAAATGTCTTAACATCGCAGTATCATGACCTTTCGGGGACTCTACATTTATTTTCACTTTACTCTTCAGTGGAAGACGAGATTCTTCGTGAGCTCTCTTTATGCCACGATAATTTTAGAGGTATCTTCCTAAGTTCTGGTTCTGATAGTTCTATCGGAGACCATTTCCTCCGTTGCCCGCTACTGCGAAGTAGGCCAATAATTCTTGGAGCCAGTGTAGAGGACATATAAATTTTATAAGTCTGTCTTTATGAGCAGTTTCCCTTTGCTGCAGAATTTACGGTCGCTTATATGCCAACATTCTCAAAAAATCCAAACTCGGGAAATGGGGTGAAAGACAATTAAAAAACAACTAAAATCGGGCCTGGAGAAAAGATTGCCGTTCCCGTTGGAAGAAGTGTTTTACTGGTGATCTTTCAAGAAGGATTTTTGATGGCAGAAAGAGACATCTAAGTTTAGTGCTCTTTTCTTCATCTCTGTCCTCCTCTACAATCCTGAACCCTACAGCGGACATCGGGGATATTCTCCGCACGAAAACTATGTCTACGATCTGAGTTTATCATACATATAAGGTCTTCCCCTTGTGGTGACTTAAGTATCGAGTAACCCTGCTATTTAGCTTTGTTCACCATCGGCGAAATCGCTTAGCCACTGTGCTACATTTTTGACTTTTTAAATTTTTTTCTGGAGCGGAAGTGGCTTAGTGCCACATGGTGCAGTGTCCCATGCATGGTCCCGAAATTGACTCCTACTTCGCTATATGTCCAAGCCAGCCAAGCCTTCCATTCTTTCGGGGCCAGCTAGTTGAGATCAAATCGCTTGGGGCAATAAAACCACTGACTTATACATCGTCTGGCCAAACCATTGCATAGGCTAAATAAGCGTTCACAGTATTGCTACAGTTCTGATTGGATGTCAAATAAGGTGGCGCATCCTGAAAACTGGTATACAGTTTCTGTTTTTTATACCGATTTTGAGCTTTGCCTCACGAACGTCTTTATGGATTCCGTGGATTGAAGTTTATAATAATAATTTGAGAAATCCTGAAGATTTTTTGAATAGTATTTCATAAGTACGATGAAATTACTGAACGCCTTATTACCGATTTCCACGCAGCCATAACTGAGCTAGATCATGACAAAGTCATGATAGTCCATCAATTCAACCACCTTTCTCAACGTGAAGGGCATAGATATTTTTAAATAATATCTAGTTCCCTTGGCCTTGGCCTTCATTCCTCGGTAGTACAACCCGATCTCGATTTCAAATAAAAGTCGAGCTCGTGGCGCACTCCAGGTTCATATTCATTGACATCAAGGCTCCCTTCTTTATTTTTTCATCAGTTTATTTGGAGCAATACCGAAGCCATGAAATATTTTTTAAGAAGATGATGGCTCTCAAAAATATAGGCACTCAAAACCAACAAATTACAGTATTTGATTGACCTATTCATAAAAATTTTTTTAATTGGGTGCGGAGGGTTAAAATGTAGTTGTGGACGTCATTCTCCGTTTCGAACACCGGGAACTACAGCGCAAAGAAGAAGAGGGGGTGGCCAGTATCAACCAGGGTCTTTTCTCTTGAGGTTTAGGTAAAAAACTATATTTCGCTGACCGAAAAACGTTCCTGAGCTATACTTCAGGCTCGCAACGTCGGCTACCCCTACTCTAAGCGCCGTAACACATGGTGTTAGAGGCAAAAAGTGCCCTCTCTCCCTCTGCTACATTTTCACTTTCGGTAGATTTCAGAAAAAAACGTATCGTTGACCGTCAGAACCCATTTTCATTTCAGTTGTGAAATGCAAGTGTTCGATACGTATTACTGGGTTGGACGGACATGCTGATATGGGACAACCAGAAATGAACTGCCGTTGACCATCATCGTTGAACGAATAGACACATCATTAGGTTTTTCTTCAGAGGCGTGTGTTTTCCTGTTTGTTATTTATGTAAATGTCCAACGCAATTAATTTACAAAATATTTCTCGTAAATGCGATTTACTTTTAAGCATTATTGGTGCTGTTATTAGTGATGTCTTTTACGATCTGCTAGGCGCAACTTTCTTTTTTCCTTTCTGCCCTCGTCATATACTTGCTAACAGACCACTTTTATTTGTTAGTCAATGAAAATGTGGCATGATGTGGATGAGGCTCGATGAAGATGGGAAATGACGATTGAGATCTGAATTGGTGCCAGATGGGTCCTCCTGACAGAGGTGACACATGATGAGTTCGATGTGGTGTGAAAAAAAAAGGCGAGCATTCACTGAGAAAACAGAAATCCGATGGAAACTCGTCCAAAAAGTCAATGATGCTTTATTCATTCAAAATAAGGAGAACTATGTTGGATATTATTTTTATTTTGTTAACCCAACCCTAGAAGATAAACCATGAAGGATTTCTTAGAAGTTGAAAAAAATGAGAAGACAGATCTTATTATTTATGAGCATTGTGACCTTAAAAAACACTTTTTCCATAACCACCCGTTCAACCGTCTTTGCCTGACAGGGATGCTTTAGCTGATGTGTTCGACCATGCATTGGGAGGGTATATTTCCATTAATGTTGGAGTTTTAAGAGAGTTGTCAACATTTGCCATGCAGCGAATCATGAACAGTCTTTAGTGATCACACCTAATGCATGGCCGCAGAGGATCGGCCCTATATAAGGCCCCACTATATAAGAAAAGTGAAGCAGTCAGTCAGATTTTTTTCACAGTTTCGTTCCTCGACCTTTATTCAGTGCATGATTTCAGGTAGCAAATGAGTGCTCTATCGCTCTCAGTCTATTGCCTCCTTATGTTTGTATGTTCTTTCTCGATAATCCTCAAATAAATTCCTCGATACCATCTGAAATGGTATCCAAATTGTTTACTCTTCCTAGGTTTAGTGTACAAAGCGTTAGAAACATGCCCTTCAGGCTTTATTCAGGCCCATGGAGGTGTGAAAAGCAACAGGAGCAGTTTTAGGGCTAAAGGGCTAAAAGTATGAAGTCGAGTCTTCGAAAATTCCTTAGCTGAGGTAATCTATCAGATAGACTACTTCGTATTACCATCCTAACCATTAATGGGGCATCCCTACTCACTGTGGGTGGGTAGAACTGCCTGCAAAAATCTTCAGATGGTTCACGTTGCCTTCAGCCCGATCTGGGGAACATACCAAAGGAAGTCAGGTTTATAGGAAAGAGACCACGGTTGGATGATGGTTAAAGATTTTATGAAAAACCTTGGGTAATGGTCGCTGTAATACAGCAGCTACAGTAGTTCCTACCTTCGAGGTCTACTTACTCTCTCCTTTACCATTTGGTCTCCCGTTCCTTCGTTCCTATGTATAGTTATGCTTCATGCACACATCCAACTCATCCTGAAGACTGTTGTATGAAGAATTTCTGGCGAAAAGAGAAATCTGTGCGTAAGGTTTCCAGAAGAACCCTTTCAAAGACCTTATAGTGCATTCTAGACTTAGCAAACGGCTGTCAAAACAAGCTAAAGAAGTAACTTCCATGTTCGCCTTTCCTTGAACCTGGGCATCTGTACTATGATTAGTCAATTCTTCTATGCCATACAGGTTTTTAATGGTGGAA